TAAGGACTTTTTAATAATTATAGATGAGTTTCATGAGATGGATGAAGATAGTTTAATTTTACTAGAGAGATACAAAGAAAATGTCATTTTACTTAGTGCAACACCAATACCTATTCCAAACTCAACAACAATAACATTAACAAAATCATGATCTCCTTATACAATAAAAAATTACCGTCACCTCCAAATATTCATTTAGAAAGTGCAATTTTTCATTATTTGAACGAATATCCTAAACTCAAAATATTGATAATTATACCATCATTAAGTCAATGTATTAGAGTACATAACACCATAGCTAGCTCTTTATCCAGAAAAATACAAGTTGTAGATGCTAAAAATAATGAAATTAAAGATGACACTAAAATAATTATAGATACATCTGTTTGGGATGCGGGTCATACTTGGTCAGGTTGCCAGTTAGTCATTGATTCGGGTTTATCTATGGGAAAAGTTAATGGTAAGTTCATAACAAGGGAATCAAGCCATGCCATTGAAATTCAAAGAGCAGGTAGAACAGGTCGAACAAATGATGGTCTGTATGTTTGATTAAATAATAAATATAATGATACTCCTTTTGACTCTAGTATTTCATTTATGTACAACTACCCCCATTTATATAAGACATTTTGGGGAAAAAAATCATATTATAAATCAACAGAGATTCTATTAAACCCAAAAATCCTGTCATGTTATAATGCTTTATTATCAAATCCAGATATAAGTATTTATTTAGAAATATTATTTAGTTCTCAACAATCGGATGCAGATATGTCATATAGATTATTATTAGGTGGTCATTTTAATCAAAATACCTATCATTTCGCTAAAAATCCTCCAACAACTCCACTTGAGAATATCTGGATAGCACTCAATAATTATAAAATTAATACAGGGCCCTTTCAACAAAATATGTTTAGATTAGATAGTGAATTACATATGTTCTATTACCATTTTTCAAAATCTAGTAGTTATGCTAGGTATGAATATACTATGAGTACAAATATTAAAAACAAGTACCCACCTGCTAAAAAGGTAGCCAATAAACCACCATCTAAAAGGAGTGTAGGAGCTTTATTTGCAACTTCAACTGATGAAATGAATTTGCAAATTAAAATGATAAAAGGTAATGCTATAGAAGATAGTGTTATCACAAAAAAAAATAAAAAAAAATTTGAGAAAATAACCACCGAACAATTTGAAAAATTGAAAAATTAAAAATCTTTATTTCTTTTAAAAAAGAAATACAAATTACAATTCCCCATGCCTAAAAACTTGGTATCCCTTACTAAAGCAATACTTCTTCATTGCC